GCCTGGCTGCCTTTGCATGAGCAAGCACTTAAACAACTGAGCTAAGGGCAGGCCCCCCTCTCACACACTTTAAATGATGAAGATGGTACACCTTAAGAACTCTACCACAATTTAAAAAAATAAAAACAAAAGAGACTCTGGCTACAGTGGCTACCATCACACACAAAGGCGATCGCGCCCCTGGAAGACTCTGCCTGGGGAGGTAGTGCAGTCTCACCAGGAAGGGCCACACAGGTCCACTCGCCACTTGACAGAGCTAAATAAGGGGATTTTCCCCACTTAACACAGGACACAGTTACGCCCTGCATTCCAAGAGAAGGGAGCATGGTCACTGTGGTGCTAAAGGGCCCTGGCCTGAGGCACCCCCTTCCCTCAGCCCTGTGGTTTGCTTGTGTGTGTGTTCTCAGTGAGAAGCTGCAGGGCCAGCCCGCTGAGCTTTCTGGTGGCAGATGTGCCCGGGTTGGAAATCCAGCTCCGCCACCAGCTGGCTATGCAGCTGTGGACGGATTGGGTCGCTTCAGCTCTGATTCAGGCATTACCCAATATCCCTCAGGGGTACAAAACTGCCCCAGGTGAGAAAGGCTGGAGCGCCACAAGACAGAGGCTCTGCAGAGGTGCTAACCCAGACTGCCCTCTCTTGGTCCACATCCTGAGCCCCTGTGACACCTGCCGGCCGCCAGCTCTCACTGCCTCACTCGCTCTTCCGGATGGGCACCTTGACCCTTCAGTGTCTCTGCGCCCACACCCACCTTCACCAGACCTTTCTGCATCTCTGACCCTGACCTCGACCCTCGGTCCACAGCCAGGGACCCTTCCAAAAAGCTACCGCCCACTGGGCTGGCAAGCAGGTGCTGCTTCCTAGCACAAATCCCCCGTGGCCCCACCCTGCTGCTCTGCTTCCTGCCCCTGATGCCCCCACCTTTCCAGTGCCCCCTTCTGGGCACTGTGCAGTGGCTCAGGACCCACTGCTCCCCCAGAAGCACCATACACAGCCAGCTCCTGCCTCACCCCTGCCCCAGCCCTGCAGGGTGCCTCATTGGTCCCCAAGGAAAGACACCTCAAAGGTGGACAACTGTTCAAGTCCATGGCAGCTGGTCCCAGGATGGATGCTGCCTACCACCCTGGCATGCCAGGACTGGCCTCTCCCTCCTGCTCCCTGACATCCTCTCCTCGCTCACCAGTCCCCCTCTGGGTCGTGCAGACCTCCTTTCCCATCCACCTGCTGGCTGCTTCTACTTGGGCTCCTTTTCAGATGTCCCTACATCCTTTCCACCTTCTCTCATCAGGTCCCCGGTTGCATCCTTGTCCTCTTCTTTCTGATCTGCCCTCTGCTGCTGCTGCCTGGGCCAAAATGCCTGGCCCTCTCACCTGGATGCCAGCAGCCCCCGCCCTGGCTTCTGCTGTTGCGCTTTGCAGCCTCTTCTCCACACAGTGGCCAGAACTGAGCGTGGCTCAGATTGTCTCACATCTGTTCAGACTCCCCTGGGGTTCACTGAGAGTGGAAGTCAAAGTGCCTAGAAGTGCCCACAAACTCTACTTTAGGTGTCTTCTGTACTTACCACACCAGCTGGCCTTTTTACACTCATCTAAACCATTATCCTAGGGCTGGCCAAATAGCTCAGTCAATTAAAGTACCAGCAAACAGGCACAGCGACTGGGGATTCGATACCGGGACCTGCCTTGCTGGCCCCGCCCCTGGGGCATGTTTAGATGGCAACTGAGACTGGGTGTGGTGGCGTGCACCTGTAATTTGAAGAAGGTGAAGGACGCCATTCTTATTCTTAAGAAGAATATTCCAAGCAGCAGGAACAGTTTGTACAGAGGCCTGTGGCAAGACAGTGCAGTGTGGCTGAGTGTAGGAGGGTCATGGTTTATTTGTATTTTTTATTTTAGGGAAAGGTCTACAGAGTGTTCAGGGTCTCACTACATAGATCGGACTCATAGTGATCCTCCCAAGTACTGGGATTACAGGCGTGCGCCACCACGCCCAGTCTCCACTGCCGTCTCAGCACACCGCGGGGGCGGACCAGCACGGCAGGCCGGGAATCGAACCTTCCCCTGCGCTCTGCCCAAGCAGGCGCTTTAGTCCGCTGAGCTATCTGAGGGCTGACACATATTAAGTGGTGCATTCGGAGTCCCGAGCCCAGCAGGGGTAGGCCCCTTGTCAAGAGCTCAGGAGACCACTGTGGCAATGGAAGGGCTGTCCGGAGAGTCTGCCAGCCCTGAGGGGTGGACACTGAACTTTTCTGGACCCCCGTCTATAACCCGGTGGTGCTGTGTGGCCAGTGCTTGGTAATGCTGGTAGCACACAAGTTAGTAAGAACAGACCCTGGCCTTGACAATGTGCTTTATACACTTTTCCACGCAGAATTTTGCATCTCTCTCACACTAGTCCTAGATGCTGCTAAAGTTTTCTTTTGACAGCTGGAAAAACTTGAGGTCGTTCCCATGCCTGGAGGCTCCGGAGGGTCGGTCTGGGCTTGGAGACTACATTTCCCAGGAGCAGCTGTCGGTGGGGGCAGGGCTCTCGGGTTTTAAATGGGCCTCGCGTTACAGAGGACGCAGAGGGGTGGCCAGGAGAGCCGCCGGCTGGGGGCTGCGGGTGGGTCCGTCTGGAACCAACCGCTGACAACCTGTGGTGTCTAGGCTGACTTTGCTTATTTTGACCCCGCCCCGCGGCCTCGGTGCCCAACTCCCAGGGAAACCCCTCCTCCCAGACCCCCAAACAAACGGAGGAGGCGGGGATTGTGCAGCCCCTGGTGGGAAGGGGCGACCGTGCACTGCAAGTCCCGCTCCCCAGGCGTCCCACTGGCTCCAGTTCCGGGAGAGAATTCCAGGTCGCTGAGATGGGCGGGAAGAGAAGTGAGCCCGACAGTTTGGAAAGGCTGGGGGTCGCTGGGAGCTGAGCCTTATGCCCCCCACATCTCCCACCCCCACCGTAAATGGGGGTGTGCAGGCAATGATCATATTACCTGCCCCCAGGCGGGAGGGGCACAGGATCAGAAGCCCGCGAGGACCAGTTTGCAAACTGTATTGCGCTAGGCAAATTTTAAAAAAAAGTCTACATTGTGCCTTTGGATTCCTACAGTCCTCGTCCTCAGCCACGTGGTGGTGACACGTCTTTGGGGAGCGCAGGGTGGAAAACATCTCGGATGTAGGGTGGCTATGGGGATGTGTGTTACCCCCACCCAGATCTTAGTGGGAACCGGGAGAATTGTTTATGAAAATAGAACCAAAACAACCCTACCCATTATTGTGGTATTGTTTTTTTCAAGGGGCAGGGGGAGCTAATTGACAACATCAAGTAAGAACCTTGACCTTTTCAACTAACCTGGCCCTTCAGGGCTTCGCGTTCCCAAAGCCTGTCTCACCCAGACAAGCCTAGGGTACGCATCTGATATTGGATCTTGGCCTCTCCTCCCCCTTCCCCAATCATTTGGGTTAACCCATCTCTTGGTGTTGGGGGTAGGGGGAGACCCCACTAATTTGCCCAGGTCGCAGACTCCTAAGTGCTGTAATAGCCCTTCCTCCCCTCCCCCTCCCCTGCAGGACTCTGCGAACAGCTCCCGGGCCTTACCAGAGACGCCTTCTTCATTTTGACCAGCAACCCTCACTCCCAGGATGGTGTTTAATTAAAGAGCCTCACTGGGTAGGGAATGAAAGCGGGCTTGTTGAGGGAGGGTGCCAAGACGCATCCCCCAGAATCTTAGCCCAGTAGAACTGGCGCTGCGTTTGGGGGATCCGTTCCTCTGTTTTCTTGACCCCGAAAGTACCCCCGAGGGCCAGGGCTCCCCTCAGACCCTGTCTCTACCTGTCTGGCAGCACCGGGGAAGACGAATATATTTTAACAAAGGCATTGCATCTTCCCAGCAAAATGGCGGTGGTCCCAGCCACGGCTTCCCTGCCCAACTGCACCCTTCCCGAGGATTACTCAGGACCCAAGAAACGTGGCCCCCCCATGTCTAAAGCACCCAGGGCCTCTCCTCATCACAGGAGCCCCCCAGGAGCGTCTCTGGTTAGACTTAGGGGCAGCCCCTCCCATTGTAGTTCAGCCCCCCAATTCACAACGCCTTCAGAGGACCTGGGAGGGGGATTGGACCCCCACACTGGGCCCCGGGATGGGGGACTGCGAGCTCTCCTCACACCCCTCAAAATTCCCAGGCTGAGGGGCAAGCAAATGCACTCCCGGTTAGGATACAGGGGAGATGAAGGGTCTCTGAGGACAGTAGGACCCCAGGAAGACCCCCTCCAGATCGCTCAGGAGACTCAGGCAGCACTGGAGGGTTCAGCCTCAGAAGGGAACCTCGAAGCAGTGGTCTGGGGGCGCACTGGGGGAATAGATGACCCGGGAGGGGGAAGGGGCAAAGTTTGTAAGTACCCTTCCAACTCCTCCTGGGAAAGTTTCCTTGTGCCCCCACGGCCAGAGAAGGGGTTGGGGTGCTGGGGGGCCAGTGGTGGGGTGACTCCTGAGAGGTGACCGGACCCCGGGGGAGCGACCCCTCCCCCCTGTCCCGGCTCGGCCCGGCTGGGAGTCGCCCGGCTCGGGGCCGCGTGTGTTAGTTGGGGCCGCTTTCCAGCCGCTCCGCCGGGTTAGGGGGCTGCGCAGCGGGCCGGGAGCCGGACCCCTGATAGCCCCAAGAGAGAGCTTTGCTACGGGTCGTCTCGCGCCGCCGGGGTCCCCAGCCCCGCAGAGCCAGTGCCCCGCAAAGGGGAAATGTGCCGGCGCCCCAGCGGTCCTCGGCGCCGTTTGGGGCGTGTGGCGGGCGCGGGGGGCGGCGACCGGGCCCGCGGGTTACCCGGCGGGGGAGCCCAGGGAGCCGAGCAGCGGCCTTGGGCGGCTGCTAGAAGCGGGAAGGCCCAGGCCGGGGGAAAAGGTCGGATTTGTTCGGCGGAAGAAACACAGATGGCGGCGGTGCGGCGCCATTCCGGGCCGGGAGCAGGCAGCCAGCAGCCCTGTCCTCACCGCGGTCCGCCCGCCGCCGCTAAATACCCGGATGCGCCGCCCGAGCGCCAGACGCGGAGCTGGGAAAGGGGAGGTGGAGGAGGCGGAGGCAGAGCGGGAGCGAGGCGGTCGGACCGAGCGGCAGGCCGGCGGGGCTGGGCCACGCAGAGCCGGCCCAGCGAGCCCTCCCGCGACCCGCGCTGGTGGAAGCAGCAGCGGCTCCTCGCCCGCATCCCGGACGGCCCGAGTCCGGACGGGGCTGCTAGCTAGAGGGCCGAGAGCAGATCCCTCCGAGGGCTGGCCCTTGGGAAGGCGCCTTCAGCGGCGGGACCAGACAGGCCACCATGACCGAGAACTCCACGTCCGCCCCTGCGGCCAAGCCCAAGCGGGCCAAGGCCTCTAAGAAGTCCACAGACCACCCCAAGTATTCGGACATGATCGTGGCTGCCATCCAGGCCGAGAAGAACCGCGCTGGCTCCTCGCGCCAGTCCATCCAGAAGTACATCAAGAGCCACTACAAGGTGGGGGAGAACGCCGACTCCCAGATCAAGTTGTCCATCAAGCGCCTGGTGACCACCGGGGTCCTCAAGCAAACCAAAGGGGTGGGCGCCTCCGGCTCCTTCCGGCTGGCCAAGAGCGACGAGCCCAAGAGGGCAGTGGCCTTCAAGAAGACCAAGAAGGAGGTCAAGAAGGTGGCCACGCCAAAGAAGGCAGCCAAGCCCAAGAAGGCTGCCTCCAAAGCCCCAAGCAAGAAACCTAAAGCCACCCCAGTCAAGAAGGCCAAGAAGAAGGCGGCTGCCACACCCAAGAAAACAAAAAAACCCAAGGTTGTCAAGGCCAAGCCAGTCAAGGCATCTAAGCCCAAGAAGGCCAAACCGGTGAAGCCCAAAGCCAAGTCCAGTGCCAAGAGGGCCGGCAAGAAGAAGTGACGAGGAAGCCTTTTCTTACGGACACTCCACTCTCTCACTCTGTAAATACTTTTTTCCTTTCTTCCTTGATTCTTTGCAACCCTTTGCCCCGTTTGTTCTGACTTTATAAGAGACAGACTTTGGATTCCTCGGAGATTGTGGAATAATTGCTTTTTCCTTCCAGTTGTGCAAGGACCGCAACAACAAATCTCATCTCTGTAACGATGAGGATGTACCTATATTTTGTTTTGTCGATTCGCTGTTAATCTTAATGGGGTTCGGGTTTGGGTGGGGTGTGTGTCGTGTTGGGGGGGTTGCTATGAGGGTAGATGGGGACGGAGAGAACAGGCTCAGCAGTTTGTCCTCCTAAAGAAGGGAGCCCAGGAGTTTATTGTAAAGGTCTGTAGGAGTGTCTTTAAGGTGTTTTGTTTTGTTTTTTAAGTTGGGCACCCCTGTGAGAATTTCGCAATCTTTATCGGGGTGAGAGGGGAGAGCCGCAGGGGGTCCGAGGCCAGGTCCTTCTCTCCTCGGGCTGCGTGCCCTTCTGGCCTCCCTATTTATTGTCTTGGGGAAGAGGAGGGGGACAAGTCGCAGCTGCTTGAAAAAACTAGCTTTTCACTGTCAGCTAGACATCAGCCATGGGGGAGGGGGCTCCGTGGCGTCGGCGAAGTCTCTTAATGGGAGCGGAAACTTTGGGGGAAGGATGGGAAGTCAGCCAAGTGCCTCAGTGTGCCCTGTTGAAACTTGGGTTTTTCCATACAATTTGATGGATTGTTATCGCCTTGGGACGACTTTTTATTTCTCTGTGTTTTGTTACTTCTCTAAAGACGTGGCTTTGCTTGGTCTGGTGGGGCTCCAGTCCCACCACCAGCTGCTTAAAAACCTCCCGACCTCTTTTTACTTCTGAGTCTGTTTTTTTTTTAAAGTAGATGTAGAGGGGAGGGGGAGGGGCAGGGAGTGGACGGTAAGACATACTGCAGTTGATTTGGAATTTGCTACGTAGTTATAGAGCTAGATCTGTGTGCATGTGTATTTGTATATAAGCATACCTAGGGCTACTACTTAGGTTTTACATCGGGAGCTGGGAGAAAAAACCTGTACAGTTGTCTGTCTTATTTTTAATATGAAAAATCGCGCACTTGCGCCACCCCACCCCCGCCTTTTTTAAACAAGTGTTACTTGTGCCGGGAGAAATTTGCTGTCGTTGTAATTTTAAAACTTTAAAATAAAATCTGGAAAAGGAAAAATTGTATTTTTCCCCCTCACTTTTAAGACTGGAGGATACTGCGGAGCGGTTGGGTGAGCAGTGGGAACATCTGGGATATAGTTTACCCCCGAGAATGGGGTGTCCGACAACCGGACAGAAACCTTCGGACGGAAAGACGCCTCTGCTCGCTTCTAGGCTCCTGCCTTTAAGGTTCAGAGGGCAGGGGTATGGGAACGGAGTGGGCTGGGACCTGACGCGACTAGTTCTGCCTCTAGCTTTCCCTACTCGGACCTCTCGGTCTTAGCAAATCAATCGACTGTCTTCCTCCACCGATCCAGCCAGGCCCCGCCCCCTTGGGGGGCCCTCTCAGCCTCCGATTGGCTGCCTGGGCCCGGCCCCCGCCCACGTGACTGGTTGTCCTAGGCGCAAGGCCTGACTCGCCCGCGCGCTTCGCTGAGGTGCGAGATGTGGGCTGGAGGCGTCTGGCGTGTGGCGCTCGCCCCGGCCCCCCTCGGCCGCCGCGCGCAGTCGGCACTGGCCCAGCTGCGCGGTATCCTCGAGGGGGAGCTAGAAGGGATTCGCGGGGCTGGCACCTGGAAGAGTGAGCGGATCATTACGAGCCCTCAGGGGCCGTGCATCCACGTGGATGGCGTCTCAGGCGGTAACTCCTCCTCCTGCGGGGGGGGGGGCTGGCTGGTGTTCGCGGGGGCTCCCGGGCTTTCGCCGGAATGGGGGTCTAGGGGCGAGGGCCGGGATCGTACTCCGGGCTGACTCAAACTTGGTTAAACCCGTTTCCACGAAGGCAAGACCCAAAACATAATTTCATCGGGAGCACGTTTTTGGGCCCAGAGGGGAAGGGTAGACGCAAAAAGAGACATCCAACTGCCTAGCCATTGCCATTTTGACCGGGAACTAGGAAGGCAGCAGCAAAAAACCCGCATTTCTTGAATTTTTTTGTTTGGTTTGGGTTTTCTGTTTTTTTTTTTTTTTTTCAAATGGGAAGGAGAACAAGAGATAAAGAGAGGGAAGAAAGAAAAAACTGAAAAACATAGAGTTTTTTTTGCCGGCTCAGCTCCTCCTTAGGGTGGGGCTGGCCCGGCATGTGGTGCCAGGGAATCCGACAGTGATCCCCTGTACCTGCCTGACATTGCCTAAGCAGGTGCTTTAGACCCCTGAGCGATCTCGCTGGCCCCTCTGTTTTTTGATACAGGGTCTAGCCATATGTATCCCAGACTGGCCACAAAATCACAAACATGGGTTCCTGGCTGACACGCTTAATTTATTGAGCAGCTGCGTCTTGAAAGGCTACTAATTGGTGCACGTGGACTCCTGCTAACTCTAAAAGTAGGAGTGACTAATCCCGTTAACAGTGGAAGAAGCTGAAACCTGAAGATGTGAAGTGTTTTGCTCAGAGTTCTCCCGCCAGACATGGCCAAAGAATACTGGGGCTGGAAGGTCAGCTAACTGGCCAGAGGCCAACTTGGGTCCAGAGTCTAAGATTTGAGGACTTTTGCGAAAGCGACAGACACATTGATTGGACATAGCAAATGTCCCTCCTTTCATTCTAGCCAGTGCCCATGCTGTCCTATTTGACCAGGCTTTAGGTGGCTGTTATCAACAGGTGCCTAAATAGACATGGATTCCTTGGAGCTGATGTATTTGTTACTAAAATACAGATCCCAGGAAATCCCGGCCTTCCCTGAGGGAGGCAGGCAGCAGATCCCTGCCCCTGACTACTTGTGGTTATCCTCACCTGTCCTGTCAGAGACTGAACACCTGGCTCTGATCCAGTGTTTGTGGGCAGAGCCATCAGAGAAACCAAACAGCTGTCACACCTAAGTAGAGGCCCAGGGGAAGACAGTGTTGCTTATGTAATAGTAAGCTGGGCACTCAGGAGACCCAAGATCCCGTGGGGACTTTGCCTTTCCCCTCCTTGGGCCTCAGTTTCCTGCTCAGAGCAGCTGTGTTCGCTGTGAGCTTTCTGACTCCGGACTGAGGTCTCAGAGGCACCACTCTGGGCCAGGATTCTGTCCAGATCGCAGAGTAAACCTTGGAGGACTGCAGAGGATGCCCAGTGCAGCCCTGTTTTCTTACTCAAGGAAACCAGTGTTAGGAGGGTTCGATGGTGGCCTTCAGGGACAGGAGAAGCCTTCGAGGAAGGGATAGGTTCCTTCTTGGGTAGAGTGTGATTCAAAGCCAGAGTGTAAACTTCTCGAAGCCAAGTGTGGTGGCACAGGCCAGTGATTCCAGTACTTGGGAGGCCAACCCAGGCTACGAGTGTGGTGATTGACAGCTGATGGCCAACTTGCAGAACTCAACAGGCATGGTGTAGGGTGTGGGAGGCCCAGCTGAAGATTGTTGCCTGCAGCATAAGAGGCACAACAGGAAAGGAAGTTTAAGAGCTATTGGGAAGTTACAGCGAGCTGTTGATTCTCATGGAGGGACTTGTCATGCTGGCTTTCCTGATGAACTCAGCTGTTCTCATTGTCAAAGGAGCTCAGGACCTTGCTGTTGCTGAGCGTAGCTACAGTTCACTTTGGGGGAGCTCTGGTCCTTACTTTGAGCATCGCCTCCTGGCTTCAGAGGGGAAAATGGTGCCTAGCTGAGTCTCCTGGAGAAGTTTGTCTTACTGGCTTTCCAGATAGGAGCTCAGCTGTTATTGTAGGAGCTCAGGACTTAGGACCTCACTGTTGTTGAGGATGCCTGTTGTCTTTTTCAGGTAGCTTTGGGTCTCGTTAAGTGTTGCTTCCTGACTCAGTGCAGATCCTTCATCCCGCTGGCACAGACTTTCTAGTTTCCACCACTGACCTTTGGGCCTTCCCAGCACAGAGCCATGAAACAGGCTTGCATGAGACATTGTGGTGGACTGTTTGCTTCCTGTTGGACTTGCGGGTATTGTTATGGGCTCTGGGTCTTCAACTGGGCTCATGCAAGAAGCCTTCAGCTGGATTCTCTGGTCTTTAGTGTGTGGACAAATTTCCTGCACTCTTGTATGACTGTTATATAATAATCTTTGGGGGGGGTGGTATTTTTCATTACCAAATCTCAAAAACTCAAACTTGTGGGGCTGGGGAGAGAGCTCAGTAGAATAAGCGCTTCCCTGGCAAGCGCAAGGGTCTGAGTTCAATCCCCGGTTCTGCCAAAAAAAAAACCCACAACTCAAACTTGTAACAAATAATTTAAACAGAAGTGGTTTTTTTTTTTTTTTTTTTTGAAGTGGGCATTTTTTCATCTGGAATACAAAATACACCCATTCACATACTTATGTGTATGTAAATATATATGTTTCCTTAGAAAGCTTCAAGGGCTGCACTACCAGCACTGAGCCTCTTCCTCCACGGCAATGCCTGACACTGACAAGGAATGTCTAAAATACTTGAGATGTTTTCAGAAACCTGGACTCCTTCATGAGTTCAATCCCTAGCACCCCCCCCCGCCGCGCCAAAAAAAGAAGAAGAAGAAAAGAAAGAAAACTGGACTCTTCTTGGCTCTTTTGCTGCCAAACTTCTACCAATGGTCATTTAAAAAAAAAATTTACATCTACATTGGTAATACATGTTTAAAACATGCTAACAAAATGGCCGACTTGAACTCAGAAAAATAAAAACAGCCCACAATAAAATCTTAAACCGTTAGAATGTGGAGTTAGCTTTTGTATTCTTTTTCAGCCACATAATGGTGCATCACTGTTAAATCAGAAGCAGCATGTCATCTAAGATATTTACAAATTATGTCATGTTTCCCAGCTGCTATCTTTAATTTTTTTCTTCATGGTACCGGAGATCGAACTTGGGGTCTTGTGCTTGCCAGGCAGGTGCTTATGCTGCTGAGCTATTTCCCAGGCGATCTTTAAGTGCAAGTAGTACTAATCTGAGTCCTACTTTGAAAGCATCTGGGCAATCCTGAAGGTTTGCAGCCAGCATCTCCTTAATCAATTGTTTCGTCCGCCCATTCATAGACTTACTCTTCACAGGAATGAGAAGTTCCACTCTGGGATTTTTCCAGGAGTGCCTCCCCAACAGGCATGAATTCAGTTCCTTGTTTTATATAACTCTCCAAGAGTTCCTTCTTTGTCTCTGTGTCTGGGAATGTGATCCTTCCCAGCATGGCCGGGACGCTGATCCCCAAAACGCGGATGTCTGCTTGCGCTGCAGAGTCCTTGCCACACCTCAGGAGCCGCTCAGAAATCGGTTCCACGGGCCGCGGGGTGGGAAAGGAAGCCCTTGTTTACACTGACAGATTCTTCTGGGTTTGCCCAGAGGCTGGACAAACTTCACTTAAACCAAAATCAGCTGTGTGCAATGTGGGTTCCAAGTCACTTGTGTCCAACCTGCTTTGAGAAATC